AAAAGTACAAGATTAAGTATAATTTTTTATTTTTAAAAGTTATTAGTCTACTTCCATTTAATGAAAACAAAAGTACAGTTCTATAACATTTTTTTTTCCTTTGAAATCGTATGAATTTAACTTTTTTTAAATGAAAACATAAATGCTTAAAAATAAGAAAATTTTCAAACTAAAAAAATTACTATTTAACATAACAACTTTTGTATTATTTTAAAAGATGTAAGTATTTTTACATAGTGAAGAGAAGAACGATTTAAAAATGCTTAAAGATATAAATTAACTGACCTACTTTTCATTTCTATCCACTAGTGTTAATAATTTTCGAAATACTGGTTTAAAAATTACTATTAACCTGTTGTTTCATTTGTTAGACCACTTACTTATTTGTTAGCTAGTTAAGCATGTATGTTTCCTTTTTATTTCTGAGTAAGAACGTGTATTTTCAGTTACTGACTTAGGATTCCATTTGACTTTTTCGCTATCATTCAACATTCATTACAGTTGGCAAAGCCTTAAAAATTTTAGGATTTTTAAAGCGTCATACTAGCATTTTCACCTCCCCACAATGTTTATGTTCCCTCTACTTTACCCTCGTTCGCCTCATTTTAAAATACGGTGTGGTTATATGGCATCCATACTTAGCTAGAGATCAATTCCAAATTAAAAGAGTACAAAACAGTCTCTTATCGTATGCCGCTTATTTGCTTAAAATTGCTCATCCCCATGATTACTCCATTATTTGATCCACCCTAGTACCCCTACTCCTGCTTCCAAACGAGTTGATGTTGACCTTTTTTTTTATCAATGCTCTCCTTAATGGTTTAATTGATGCAACAAACCTTTCGCCCTCTATATCCTTTCGTGTTACATCCTATTCCACTAGGTATCACTTTCATGTTCCCCTTAACCTCTTACAATAACAATACTTCTCTACATAGAATACTTAACAATTCATAGTTTTTGGTCACATCTACTTCTTATATAATAATTTTTCTTTTGATATTTAAACCTAATTTTAAAAATTATTATTATCATTATTTTGTTGTTATTATACAATTTTTATAATAATTATTATATATATATATAGATGTTATTAGAGATATTTAATATAGATTATCATGTATATTATTTTTGTAAATTGTCTTTTTGGCGTTCGATAATCAAATAGATAAATAATAGGAATTAACCTAATTAAGAAAATGACTGGCTGATAACAACTTTTGGACCATTACTTTGGAAGTTATTCTCATTTAAATACATAAGCGAGACGAAGAGTAGGCCGAAAATTACTAGTGATAAAAATATGTGATAACGGTAACATTGTTCCCAAAGTACGTATCCATGATTTTTCAATAATTTTTTGTAGGTTATTGAATTAAATATTTTTAATATTGAAAATTAAAAAAAAAAAAAAATCTATCAATATTGTAATTATTATTTGGTAATAATTATTATAACTAATGGTTAATTATACAAAAAAGTTTGATCTAATCATTGTAGCTAATTTTTTTTTTTTTTGCTTTATAAATCTAAGTAATTTGTATATATGACATAGGATTGATTTCAACTTGGGTATGTTTTTATAATATTCCATAAACACTTTGAAAATAGTCAAGTACAGAGCATACTATGTTATTTTATTTTAATAGTCTTGGAAAGAAAACATATTTACTTTTAGATTCCGTTTAATAACATTTTTGACAACCGTGATGGCAATAGCAGCTATGGTCAAAACAAAATACTGCCAATTCCTACGAGACCAACGTTATAATATAATTGTGTACACAACGTACTATGTTTCACTTTGTAATAACATATATATATATACAAACATAAAAATTTAATAATATATATATTTAGATGAAATATTATTATACTGGTAAAAACACAAAATTACATTTAAAATATGTATAATAAAGGTTAATCTGTAAAATAATCAGTTTTCCTTTTGAAAATATCGTATAAAGTTTATTTTAACATTAATTTGAAAAAACTTAATGTAATATTTAATACTTTTTCGTGTATGATGATTCAAATAACACAAAGTGTAAAATTTGAAATAAACCCATTTTATTAATAAAATATTAAAGAAGTAGCCAAAGCTAAAAAAATTATGTAACGATGTGTCGATTTTTAAATTTTTTTTTTTAATGAAAGATCTAAACGACGTTATCCTAGGAATATTATTTGTGAAAATAAGAAAAATATTTTAGCACACCGTTAGAGTTTAAATTTTTTATTAAAAACGCTAGTTTTTTTTTTAAATTATGAATTTTTACCAAGCCTGCCCCAAGAAATATTCTAATGATATCTTAAAAAATTCGTTGAAATCTGTTACTTTTTTTTTCAGCTCTCCAGACTGCACCACCCAAATTTCTTGCACCACTTTTCTCCATGAAAATGATTGTTTTTCCTTTCACTTTTATACCAATGTAATTTAACGTACCGTAGTCTCGTTAGACTGCCAGAGAACCAGGTCTGTGTTGAAGCCCCAAGAAGGAGAAACCTAGTAAATATACATTATATTATTGATATAAACAAAAATGTTACATAATTAGTTAATATTTTACATATTTATTAGGTAAATAAAATATATGTTTAGACTATATTATAGCTATAACAATAACTTTCATTATATTAAAACTGCGTGGTTGGATATTATAAGCCCTTGTTAATTTTGAATACAGTGTTTTTTTTAGATAGTTCTCCAGAAAAAATTTGAAATATAGTAAAGAAATATCAAATATTTCAAAAATTTTATTTTGATATCACAGTTGACGACCAAAAATCACCAGATAATAGTCAATACAGTATTAATTGTTTAAATTCATAATAGAAAAAGTAAAATAGCAGAGAGAAATTTATTACTGTTCTGCGAATTCATCAAGGATGATGATATGAACAACAGTTTTTTATTTAAATGTGTATATGATTAACTTTTGTGTAACTTTTTGTGTGTTTACTATATTGCTGACAATTATAATTAATATAATTAAGTACAAAAGTGATGATTATCAAAAAATTGAATTATTTTTGTTATAATATAAATGACCTCCCACGATTTTTTCAAATGGGCCTCGAAAAAAGTTTTCGTAAAGAAACATTGATAAAATAGTTATGAATATTGTCATATTTATTTGAAAAGTTTGTTTGTATTAACAGTAATATACGCATTTATATTAAAAAAAATTAATACTCATACAAAATTCTACTAGTATTACATTTTTGGAGACTCTAATTTTTCTATTTAAAAGTGTCTTTTGAAAAGCACAAAAAATTAGTTCTAATATTAATTTCAGCTATTACATTGGCATCCCTGATTATTATAAAGATCACTTACCAAAGTATTTTTGTCAAACACTTGTATACAACGGTCTAATAATGACTTATAGTAATTAAGACTACATTTATCAAGTAACAAGCAATCTACTATGGCTATAGTTTGATTGACCTTAAAAGTAGTTTTTTTTTTTATAGCGCATTAAAAAATTATCAAAAAATATTGATTTTGATTTCTTAGAGAAATGTTAAAAGAAATTCAAGTCTTTTACAAGTTTGAATATATGTGTTTCATTATGCTCGAATTCACTCAGTTCAACCCTCATGATCATTTTTAGTTAATAAACCAGTAGAAAGTTGTATGAGGTCAGCATATTTTTTTTAATTTTTCATCTTAGAACTCCAAGATACCATAAGACGTTGAGTGTGGGCGCGAGAAAAAACGGATCTTTCAATGATAAAAGAAGTTCGATTTATTGTACTCGAGGGTACAAAAATTGTAAATACTGCGCTGCCAATACATCTTATCTCCCTCGACGCTCAACTATGACTATCACGTCAATTTGTGGAGAAATATTGCCATTAGTATTCCTTAGTATTTCAGCAGTAACATGTTTTATTGATGCTATGATATTACTTAAAACAGAATTTTAATGGCTAAATGTCTGCATAAAGTCAAGAACACATAGTTCAAATTTTATAACTATTTGTCACCATTTTTAGTTGTCGTATTTTGAGTTCTATATATTTTAAAGTCTTAAAGCAATTAAAACTGTCTGAGAAATTTAATAATCTAGATTATCTTTCAAAGGAATAATTCATTAAAATTTACTGAGTTTTGACAGACTAACTTAAATTCACAATGAATTACACGTGTCAATAATTAAGATTTGGTAAGTATTATGTATCATTCTTACGAAAATCCTTAATAAATTATTTATATTGATGTTATTTTAATGAATAAAGCTTCAAGAAACTAATTACTAGTGATGAATAATGATATCCATATCGAATTTAGTATTTCTTCGGAAGATTGACAAAATATTAATTAAATTAGTTAATGACATTGTGGTGAAATATAAATTCCAAAAAATTAGGGTTTTCATTGTTGACAGTTTAATGAAATTATATTAAGAACATTAATATAAAAGCCTAATAAGATATCACGAAATAAAGTTAATCTAGTATAGATTCCTAAAATTAAAATAATGAGTAAAAACACATAAATCGCCAAAAACCTGATTAAATTATTATAGTTAAATAACAAGTTCATTATTAAAAATGAAATTTACTGATCAGTATTAATTAATAACGTATTAAATATAAAATATTTTGTATATGAGTAAGCATCAACACCTGCCATCAAAAGAATTTAGTAGTTTATAACAATAGTTCGTGATACTTAATTATATAATACTTAATTTAGTATTTTAGTATGGAACATCTTATTAAAAAATTTTAAAAACCTTTTCAGTTACCTAAGATATTAAGAAATCAAGACGTTCATGGAAGCTGTTTGATAAATTACCAAATGTCTTTCTATTGCTGTTATTAATATCTAAAGTTACGATCAGATGATTTTTTAAATTATGAATGTGATAGAAAAACACAATTTCAAGTAATTATTTATATATATTGGAATTATTACTTATAGTTTTATTTGTTAAAATACATAATCAACAATAAATAAACAAACTTTTATAACTTTTCTATGTAATAAAAATTAAATTTACTCATTTTCATCTATAGTACTTTTTTAAAATTATTTACATTTTTTTAAACATTGTTTGCAATTTTCAATCAACGACATTCCACGGGTATTGAACATTGATTTATAAACGCCAATATAACCGGCTGACCTGTGTCTTTTCCTAATTTATTTGAGAGCCAACTCAAAGCGACGCTGTAAAATTGAAAAATGTATTATTTAAATTTTTTTATGATGTTAAAGCAAGAAGAAAGCCAATGTGTAAAAAGATTTCATAAAAAAATATATTCTTGAATAAAAATTATTCATTTTGAATTTTTTATACGAATATTATTTTGAAATTGAATAATATACTTTCTAAAGTTATTTAATGTATTGTATTTCAAAATTTTGATTATATTATGTTTAATTAAATCATACAAAAGCTTTAATATATAGTATTAACATTTGTTATAAAGTGTTTTTATAAAATAAGGAATTTTCTTATAATTTTATTTTTCTACATATACATGTATACTTGAAATAAAATACTGCTAATCGAAAAACTTTATTTTTTTTCAAAGACGTTAAATAGAATGACGCACGCTTTTTTTCATTATAATAAGACATACTTCCACGCAGGTAGCAGTGTTGAGCTAAAATTTATCCCAGAATTAATTAGCTTTTTAGACTTTTGACATATTTTTTTAGCTAGTCCGCAATCTGCTGTTTCTCCATCAACAGATGCGATTAAATTATCAACACCTTTCACCACAGTCCAGGCTAATTCATCAATCTCTAACATTGGCAGGTTTAACTGCCTACCATTTCTAGAAACGGAGGATCCTAAAGATGACGCAGGACTCATCATTAATGTGGCGCCAATATTAGGTGTCTAAAAACAAAACCTTAATTAATTATAATTATAAAATAATTGACATATTCTAGCTGTAATCGTAAGCAAATAAAATATTTATGTCTAATGACGTGGAGCTTTCAGCTACTAATTGAGAAACTATATAGAAGGTTTCATTTTAATATTATAATATTCATTTATGGTTTCTTTAATATTATAAATAATATTAGTGTAGGGTTGTTATTTAGAACATTATTTATCGTAAATATTGAATAATAAAAATACAATATTAATGTTATATGTTTTTTAGTATCAGGAAACATAACTAAAAAAAAAATTAAAAGAAAATGCTCCATGTAAAATAACGAATCAACTTATAGATATATTTTCACATAAATTATATTCAAATATAATATAATGTTATTCTAATTATTTACTTACACTCATAGCATCCATAACTAAATTCATGACAAAAGTACCGAATCCAAGAAATGCTATCGCAGTAAGAACAAGATCATACAAATCGGATGCTGTTAGACTTTGACGAACTCCATTATTGCTATTATTGTTATTATTGCTATTATTGCTATTATTGCTACCCTCGTTTGAATCATTAGCTGAACTATCACCTAATTCGTCTGCTTGTGAAATTACAGGGCTTTTCGTGGGAACTAAAATTATACGGCTCAATAATTAAAAGTTACATCGCAAATGATAATATAAAAAGGTTGATTCACTTATCATGAACAACTTAATTAGTCAAAAAATAAAATTAATATTAACAATTTTTTTATTTGTCTTTTCTACTTCAATATTTCTCTTGATTTTTCATTCATAAAATTTTTGTTTAGCTCTTACACTTCATAAGTCTTTCAATTTAAAATGTTCAAATGATAACACATATAATTAACTAGCTAATTTAATAAATAATGACCTAATTAAAAATTGACTGATTGACATATTTATATCTAGGTTAGAGGAAGAGTAAAACCGAAAAATGTCTAGTGATAACAAATACGCTATTCATCTCCAGTCAATACTTTTTATCGTTAATAATTTTAAAAATACTGATCAAAAAGTTATTTTCTTAATTAGATCTTTTTATAATTTATAAGCTTGTTAGATGAACATAATAAACACAAATAAAAAAATTATTAATATTATTTTTGGTTTTCTATTAATTTAGTAGTTCATAGTAAAAGAATCATCCTCTAAAATACTTAATTGTAATGTCTAATTTTAACAAAAAAATTTTTTTTTTAAACCTCTACAAAATTTAACTAAAGTAAACTTTTCAATTATTATTTTATGAAAAAAATATTTAATACCTTATAATACTGAATTTTTTGAGCGTTTTTTTTTTTTTTATTATTTACCAAATGTTATTAAGACAATCATTTAACACAATTATAAAAATATATTAAAACTATTTATTAAACTTTGAAAATAATATTAATATTTTCTTAGTAAAAAATTAAGCAAAATAAAAATTATTTTTAACAATATTACTTTAATAATTCAAATAACTTACTTGCTGTTGTTAAGGTAGGAATTTGTGGGTTTGGTTGTCCGAAATAACCATTAAAATTGGTCATTGGGAAACTATTAGCTATATTTGGAGGTCCATATGACATTGGGGGCATTTGTGGAGGGCCATAATAAATAGGTAAATTAGGAGGCTGCATTCTATCTGTATTATTAACGTTATTATACATATTTTGATCATTGAAAGGTACGGATTGACTTTGAATGAACTCAATACTAGATGATCCACTAGGGTTCAAAATGGGATCTATAGAAATAAAACAATTCAATTATGTCAAATTGAGTGGTTATACATAAAATACAAGGACAAATTTAAGTGTTAAATTTACATTTATTTTAAGTATATTAGTATTTGTTTTTGACATTCTTACTATAAATATTTTATATTTATAATTTATAAAAATAGTGTTTTTATTTAAAAAACTAAAAAATTAATTAAAAATCGAGATTTTATGCTATCTTTTATAGATTTGTATGTAATCTCGTTTTTAATTTTTTTTTTTTATAATTTTTGGAGTTATTTAAAAAAGACCCAGGTACAACCTAGTATAGGTGCAATATTCTTTCTTATAATAAGTGATACTATTAATACTAGCCACTTGATTTCTCTAAAATAATACTTATTTAAAAAAAAATAATTTTGTTATATTTTATTCTTTAAAAAATAATAAATAAATAAAAGTATTTCAAAAAATACTAATTAAATTTCGTGTTAAAATATTAATAACTATCAAAATTTATAGTCAAATTTTGCACACTTATCCATTAAACAAAAAAGTATTTATGGAAAATAATGACATTTGTCTTTTCATATAATTTGAGCTCACATAACACAAATTTAATTGTATTAATAGAAGTTATTTTAAATCTGATGTTATTACAACTGTCTTCATTAATTTTAAAATATTACCTTCGAATGACAGATGCGAGTTTATAGGGCCACTTTGAATATTCAACTTACTTGTTAAATCATGGTTACCTAAACCTAGAAAATCAAACTGCTACTTAAATAGAATGTAATATTTGTTACTAAATTATAATTAAATAGTTATTTAGTATGGAGTATCAAGTTGCATAATCATATTACTTTCATTGTTTTTTAACTTCAATTTGAAGCCCTGGGGTTGTTCTTGCATTCTGATATTCAAATCATATTCGTCATAAATTTTTTTCATTATTTGAGCTCTGAAAATGAAAAAACCAAATGCAGACATAGTAATAAAAATATTAATTGGAAATTTATGTAACTAATATTTTCAATCCAATAAAAAATGTTTATGAATAGCATTATTACACTATGTTACCAAAATAAAATATAATTAGACTTATTTTCATGAACATTAATAAAATTGAATTTTTTCAATAAAAACTCTAAATTCTGATAAAAAAAATCTCAAACATTTTCTTTTTAATATAATTAATTACAAATCTTCAAATCCCATTTCAATAATAACTGAAAACTCCTAAATGGGGGAAAAAATTTAATTCTTAAGTTTTAAATTGAAATGTTTTTCAACATACTTGTTTAGCCAATTATTATAGACAGCAGAGCCTTGATCAAATCGCATATTTGATATTACATCTGACTCTTTAGAAGAGCTCACTGATCGGCTTTCTTGCATAGAATTTCCAGCAATTTCTTGCAATATCTCTTCTGCTACATACTGTCGACAAAGGTAATCTTGAATTTTTTCCCTTAAAATATTCAGGAATGTTTTTCAAAAATCGTTATTATCAAATGTTACATATAAAGAAAATTATTTCAAAATAAATTTTTTTTTAAATTTTCAAATATTATTATTTTTACAGTTTTTTTATTCTTACTAGCCACCCTTCAAAATAACAATTTTTTCAATACACTTATTATAATATTCAGTCATTTTACTTAAAATTATTCTAAATAGAATTGAAATATTTATTTTAAAAAAATTATCAGAATTGTCTTTGATTTAGTTTTTCATAATGAAAATTCCAGAAATAAAATACTTTTGATAAAAATAACACATTATTAACAATTTTATCTTTCCAGCTACAAAATTTGGACTATTTAATCGTGTTTCTATTAAATTTGTTAAAATTTCTTGGAATATTTTAGTGCTACACCACGGAAACGTATTTTTGCAAAACACTAATAAACTAAATATTTGATCGATTCAACATTTTATAGTTAATGATCTCTAAAATAAGTAAAATAATAAATGTTACTTTGATTTATTTTAGCTTCAATGCGAAGCTGAGAAAGTATTGGTTTTACTATGACGTGTTCTTTTTTTTGTGTCTGTTACCATTTTTTCTGAGCTTTCACCAAACCGATTTCTTTAAACGATTCATCAAAAGATCATAAATCTTATCTATTCAAAGACATTACCCTCAAAAATTGGAAAAATTTCCCTCGTTCCCCGTAAATGGGGGAAACCTTCAAAAAAAAATACAAATTTTAAAATCGCTAATTCTCGAAATTTTTTCAATTTTTTTTACTTAAAACTGCCATAACTTTTTCAAAAATGAACAAATCAATATAATTTTTTTTTTATAGATGCTTGATGTCCTTACCTATCATTTAATATATTTTTATTTTATAAATCTGACCTTCTACATGCCCGCAGGGGAATTCAAAATGACAACTTTTTCACAAAAAATTTACTTTTACAACTTAACTTTTGAAAGTGTTTCAGAAAGTCTAATACTTTTATATATATATTAAATTAAAGCTAATGAAATGTACTTTATTATGGAAAAAAAAATCGGACTTTATTTTATCTTTATGGTGAAAATGGCTACGGAATGCTATTTTTGTGTAAAAATTATCGATTTTTTTTTACATTTTTAACTTCATAACGTTATAACTCTTTGAAAAGTATATAGATCAACACAATTTTTTTATGATAAATAATATTTTATCCCTTTTTCATTCGACATGCTTTAAATTTTTTTAAATTAAACATCATCTAAAGATTTGCATCGAAGCGTTTTTTATAACAGTGATTTTAATCACTGTCAGATATCATTATACTTGACCCAACTATGACATATCACCACTGTGCCGCGACCCCCCTGTGCTAGTTTTATTATTTATGAGTCTCTTTTTATGATGACTCAATAAATAATAGATGACTTAATATTATTTAGTTTTTATTAAAAGATAATTAACGTTATTGCGCGCAATTGAGGTCTGTTTGACAAACTGTAATCGCGTTTTGGTGAAATAAAATATAATAAACTGATTTTAACAAACGTTATATATTATACAAAGTAAACAGTATCATAATATTTTACCAAAAAAAGTACATATGCAAAATTAATTTACGATGGGTAATATCTTAATATGCAATATGATATGTACACTACAAACAATTAATACTTAGGTTCCCAACTGAGGTCCACATTTAAAATCGGGTCCATGATGGCAACTATATTAAGTTGGAGGTTTGGTTTCTTATTCAGGCGTTTGCCGTATTTTTTTTTTTACCATAAAGAATCAGCCGAACGCCTGCGTTAGAGACGACTACCCGGGCCAGTCTAGGGGGACCGAGGTATTGGTTTTTGCCAGCACCGTGTATGTACCTTTTTTTTGTTTTTTTTTTTATGTTTTTGTGTGGCATGATTTATATAATCCCAAACCTGTGCATAGTTCTACCCTACCTCAAAGCAATTCGTAGCCCCTCTGACCTAACGGGGAAGGGCACGTTGTGTTGTGATTCAGTTCTTGATTAGTTTCGGGCTAGACAAATCGTCAATAATTCAACTTTTTTCTCTTCAGATATAAGCGCTTATGCAAGCTATGATACTTTTGACAGAAACAATATAAGCCTACAACTAATATTCAACATAAAAATATTTTGTATATTTCTATCATTTTCGTCATTACGAGACTTATTTAATACCATAAAATTACGGTAAGAAAATGTTCGTAAAATGTTTATTTTTATTGTATAAATTTAAAAGAAACATTGTTTATTATGTTAAAAATGTAGAATAATTTTAATGTAATCTGCACAAAGTGTAAATTGACTTTTTTAAGTTTACAATTACAATATTAGCTATACTGATGTAGTTCAAACATTATATGAAATATGATATTTTGTTATCTTAAAAAAATGTTTAGTTAAAGTTTCAATAGTGATTAAAATACGACGCTTAATCTTGGCAAGTTCTTAATATATACAAAGTATTGCTGTCAAAAGTTTAACCTCATGGTTTCTACACAGAATATTATATTACTATTCTTATCAAACCTGTGAAAACTCATTGTCATCAAAGCGTCGTTCAAATTTCCAGCCACAACTGAAACGTTGGACACAGTTGTATAGTTGTGGTTTAGGTTGTCATCAGTAACCACACCGTCCGTTACTGTTACATCAGTTAAACCTATTTCTTCTATAACCATTTTTTCTGGAAAAGAAAATCCCTGCATTTCATAACATTGTACAGTAGCAAAGGTGACAATGACGATACACCAAGTTGTCGACAGCATTTCGAAACTAACTGACATACGTTCTAATATGAAATCATCGACCAAGCGATTCCCATAACTTAACCGTATGCCCAGCGACCGGAAAATTTAACTACATGTCACAAGTATCACGGATAATGTCATGATACTAAGATGAAAAATTACATGTTTTGACAACAAGATGAAGGTCACGCACTTCTACATATTTTAAAAATTGTGTTGTTAAATTTTTATGTGTATATTTTTAGTAATGAAAAATATGTATTCTTTGTTTTCATGCTATTTTAGATAAGTTAATTTATAAAGTTAAATACTACAGCTATAAAACTTAACCTTTAGTACTCAAATCATTTTGTGTATTATTACACTTTGACAGCTCACACTATTAGCTGTTTAGTTTTTTATTTGAATTTTAACAAATTATTCTGTATATTATTTTTCGATTTATGAATGTTTTTTTTTAATTAAGTAAAATTAGTTTTGAAAGCGTTTTGTAAATTTATGCGGAAAACAATATGAAAACTGTTCAATAGTAAAACGAATTTCACACTATACTTACTTGAAACTAATTACTACGTATTATTTTAAAAAGCGATATCATCTCTATTACAATTATAATAGAGGTTCTAATTATAATTGAAACATAAAAAAAATAAAACTGTTTTCATGTTAACCATAAATCGTGATAATAATATTATTATACCATAATGTTAATTAACTAAATGTAAAGTACAAACATTTAACTTTAATTACTAAATCTCTAAGTACACATTTTCGATTCTGATTAAATGTTATTATTAATATTCACCAGAAAATTTGTAATTAACTTCATATTAATGAAATTCATTATATTTATATATTTGTTATATCACTTCCAATTGAATTCGACTTTTTCGCATAATGCATTTTACTTGTGTAACATCCTATTTAGCACAATCAATTGACATAGATACCTAAATGATTACTAGGGCCAAGTTTATATAAACAATTTTATATTTTATACATAACTATAACAAATTTTTTATTAATTACATTGTTTCTATATCAGCAAAATATTTTGTCACTACTCGCTTTTCTAAAATAGTTATAACTTTCGAAATAATGTGTCTTAAGTTGTCACCGACAAGTCATTTTTTTAGTTAGATTATTTTTTATTATAAACTTGTTAAATTTTTTAATGTTGATAATAATAAAATAAAGATGACACCCTTTTAAGGCATAAAAGATGAATTAAAAAAATATTTTATAGTTGATAAATCAAAATGTATATGAAACTAAAAAACACCTAAACTAATTCACTTAACATAATTATTAATTTAAGAGAGTACGAGTGACTAATTATTAAATAATCCCCCTGTATACAACAATTTTATAACTTTTTATCAACTCTCCGTAGAATTTACAATACTAAATCATTCAATATTAATTTCATACTAAATATTATTACTATAATTAGTATTTATTCATGAATTACATTTATAAATCATTCAATAAAAATTTCATCCACATAAAATTTATGAAAAATAGGATTTACATTTTATTTCACCAAAAGGCGATTACAATTTGTCAAACAGACCGCAATAACGTTAGTTGTCTTTTAATAAAAACTAAATAATATTAAGTCATCTATTATTTATTGAGTCGTCATAAAAATGAGACTCATAAATAATAAACCCAGCACAGGGGGGGTCGGGGTACAGTGGTGATATGTCATAGTTGGGTCAAGTATAACGATATCTGACAGTGATTAAAATCACTGTCATAAAAAAAGCTTCGATGCAAATCTGTAGATAGTGATTAATTTAAAAAAATTGATGGATTAATCCAAAAGCTACATAATCTCCTATTTCCTTATTTATTTCCTGATTACAAGTTTTATGATTTATACGTGTAATATATGAATAAATATATATATATATTTATAATATATAAATATAAAAGGAAAATGATGTTATTTAAAAAAAAGTACGTCGAATGAAAGAGGGATATAAATATTATTTCTTATAAAAAATTGTATTGATCTATAGATTTTTCAAAGAGTTATAACATAATATAGTTAAAAATATTAAATATAAAATCGAGAATTTTCACACAAAAATAGCATTCGGTAGCCATTTTTATAGTAAAGACAAAATAAAGTCCCAATTTTTTTTTTTCATGACAAATGTGATAAAGTATGATAAAGTATATTATATTAGCTTTAATTTAAGATATATATAAAAGTATCAGACTTTCCGAAACACTTTCAAAAGTTAAGTTGAAAAATTAAATTTTTTGTGGAAAAGATGTCATTTTGAATCCTCTCTGGGGGCATGTAAAGGGTCAGATTTATAAAAAAAATATGCATCTATAAACAAAAATTATATTGATCCATACATTTTTCAAAGAGTTATAGCATTAAAAGTTAAAAATATAAAAGAGAATTTTTTTACAAAAATCGTATTTTTTTTTTTTTAATTTTGATGTTTGTTTTCACTATGGAGAAAAAATGAAAAAAAACATCGTAGCAAAATGAATATCTTCTCAGCTAAAAATAAATGTTTATTACTGCGTATCAATTATTTGTAATTTGATTTAATGATCAATGAAGTAAAATTTTTCTGAAACACTAAACTTAAATTGTTTATTTATTTTTATTTTTTTATTATTTTATAAACAATGTACTAATTATAAAAATTTTATTCAAAGCTGCTCGATTAGTAAATTTAATTGCAAATTTATACAACTAAATATTTATGGTTGAATAAATTTATTTATACTTTATCCTACACATCTAATTATATTTGTTTAAAATTTTAAGACATTAATCTTAACTTTATTGTATAGCTACTATTAATGATTAATATTGTTATGCATTTTTTAATAGATTGACTTATTATGACTATTAATATCCATATAGAAATAATTAATTATTAACCAGAAGTATGATAAATTGATACAAGTTATTGTAACGCAAATACTGTACTAATTTATATTGAATATCATTAGTAAAAAATAAAATTACGCAAGTATGTCAATTTCTATTCATAATTTCGACCTATTTAATTTACATCAGCTATTCCATATATATAACTAACGCTCTCCAATTTAAAATCAAAAACATTTATTATTTTACATTAATTTGTTAAAAATTAATACGCTGAATTCAACAAAGTACAATAAACATATTTAAACAAAATAAAACATAAAACATATTATTTACAAAGGATTAAAATTGGCAACGCATTCAAATTATATAGACGTTAATTTTTCTATAAATGTGGCTACTAAAAGCATAAAAGTATTACAATGAAAAGTTAAGCATAATAAAATTATTTTAAACTATTGATACATTAATATTTTCAAAAGAAAAATTCGTTTTGCTTCGTACCATTTGTCTAAAATTTTTTTAATGAAGATATTGTGTATTAAATATAAAACATCTAAAGTTGCAAAAATGTTTATTCAGTATTTATGCATTTTATTTGTAATTACATGAATTTAATAGGAGAAATAATACAATATATAAGTTAATTCTAAACTATTTACAGATCCAAATACATAATTTGTGATGCTACTATAGACGCACAGAATCCAAGAAAAGATGCTGTGTACACTACTGCTGATGTAGATCCAAACAATCTAATAATGGTACCCATAATCATGGAAAGAATGAATTGTGCTACAAACACTGAGGAGCTAACAACGGCAACGTCGGTACCTAATCCTCTAATGTGTTCGGCGGCTTTATCACCTTCATAGATCTCCTCGGATGAAAACTAAAATCAGTCATTATCATCAGTAAACTGTATTTAAGATAGCTAGAATCAAATTCTATATATTAGTCAAATATTTTGAACTATTAATACATTAAAAGGTGTAATGAAATCTTCAGTAAATACTTAATATTATATTATTAATGAGCGAAGAATTTAGGTGCTTATATTTTCATAATAGATCTACTATAATTTCGTATTTAATAATTTGCCTTTTAGATAATATTAATTAAACATTTACCTTATTCGTAGAATGATAGTATGCAATCAAAAGAAATGGCATTGTAAACATAGTAGAATACATGACACCGGCTGCCCATGAAAATAGTATAACACTAAATTTGTGTCCTGTAATTGCCATCATAAACATACCACCGGAATAAAATAGCAAACCACCTACGTAGACTCGCTTCGCCCTATTCTCAAACAATTAAAAACCTATTGCGTGAAAATCGGACACTATTTATTTCAAGACATTTTTTAGTGAATATTATTTAATACTAGGTGTCCACTTTTGATTAACTTAAAAATAAAATTTTTATTGATATTTTTAGAAGTTATATTGCAAGTAACCCTTTATTATAAAATGTATATTTATATACTATACATCATTAAAAGTGAAATTTTCTTAGCTTAATAAAATAGAAAAAAAACTACAAAATTTTATAGAATGCAAATAATTTCAATTTTGTTATGTATGGTATGAAAATAATTAAAACCAATTGTCATGAAATTATAAAATTTGAAAACGCCCAAAAATTCAATATAGGGAAGCTGACTTTACACCACTATGATCCGGTAATAATAATATAATAATATATTATATAAAAAATAAAAATAAATGATAAAATATAATTAATAATATAAATAATATTGTCCTTATCTATAAGGTTTTTTTTTTCTGATCGTCTGAATACAAGACACACAGTAAGTGAATTACTTCTTTCCAGGTGTCCATTAGAACACAGAATATACTATAAAAATACCCTAATTAATTTATATTTACCCGAATTGCTTAATGAGTTTTTCTATAACACTTGAATAACAAGCACATGATAAAGAATACATTGACATACCCATTGATCCGAATCTTACACCTTCTTCATATAACAATTTTTTTTCAGTACCTGGTAAGGCCTAAAATGTGTAATACTAAAATTAATAAATTTTTATGATATTGAAAAATATAGAAAACCTTATAAAATAAATGATGATATATTGAATTAAAGTACAAAAACCCTAAATGTTTGGATCAAGAAATTAACTATTTCTAAAGTTTTATAAAGCCTGACCTCTAAAACCAATCAATATTATTTTTTGAGTACTAATAAAATTGTATAAAAATGTTTTGTAATAATCACACAATTTTTGTGTGGTAAATAAAGTTTGATAATAAATTTTTACTAATTAAATAAAGTCATCGGTCATTAATAAATATATTTTTCTTCTTACCATTGGATCTCCACCAAAAACTGCTTCTCCTACATAGTCAGTGAAATACAATGAGTAACAAACATGCGCCATCCAACAGAACAAATTAGTTAGACAAACTAATTTTATTGAGTTAGGCATTACTATAATAGACTTAAGGTAATGGACAAATGTAGCGTGCTCCTGAAAACAGAAAACAACTTTGGTGAGAATAGCAATCAACACTAACACATGTTTTTCGATTAAATGGTGTATTGAGATGGATTTCACCATTAATAGTACAATTTCTTCTTGGAAAATTTTAAAATAAATAGATTTCACCCTAAATTTAATGAATGTTTTTTACTGTACTAAGAATTAAATATATACTTATACTGTTTACTTAAAATATGACTACCGGTATGAGCAAAGGTTCGTTGTGTTCAATATCATCTGTAATCTCATTCAATGTACCGTATGATTTAAGAGAAATATCAGTCGTCTTAAAGTCTTTATTTTCGTCCTAAGGATACAGTTATCATTGTGAATAAAATAAAATTATGATAATCTTTATTAGCATACTTCATTACTGTCCGAATTGTTTATAACTACTCGAAATTGGTTATACTTTTGTAGTTTCAATGGCATTTCTTTGAAACTAGTTATGGTGTATGTAACACAAACAAGAAATAAAATTGTGACCAGAGTAAATACTGTTTTTACGTGACCACCCATCATTTCACCTAAAAAACATCATCAAAAATAATACATCATTGACAAAATATTATCAAAATAATTCTTCAATATTACCGAATTTCCACGAGTCCCAGTCAACTCCACCAAGGAAATATCCAATACAACCTCCAAGACCCGCCATTACCGTAAAAGTGCTTAGACCTTTAGCGTGATCCTCTATAAATTTTCATCAAAATTTTATCATCTACATTTCATTAATTTAATGCATTGCTCTTAAACGATATACCTGGCACACATATATCTAAAAGATAAGCCCTTGTAGGACTTTGACAAGCATCTGCATTAAAATCCGATAAAACTGTTCCCAATATCGTAAAAAATACAGGCCAAAATTTTGAATTATCCTGGCTAGAATCTCCTTCCACCCAGTGTCCCAATGACTCTCCATTTGGCACCAAAACCATACCTTATTTAATTTTTCATTAATATAGAATTTTTCATGTATCATATTATATCATGTATAATTCATTTTTATTACCCAAAAATACACCACAAGCTAACAGTATAATAAATGGCCGTCGACGCCCAATTGGTAGAGTACATCTGTCACTCAAAGACCCTAATATAGGCGTCACAAAAAAACCAATGCATGGTGATACAGCCCATACAAGTGTCATATGCTGATGATCGACGCCAATTTTCAAAAGTGTCGGAGATACAAACGCTGTTTCTGCAGCATAACAAAATTCTAATCCCATGACAGCTGCAGATATACGAATAAGTTCTCGTCTAGTTTTATTTCTGTAAACAGAAAAATATGTAGATTATTTATTTATTGATAAATAATGAAATTTAAAAAAAAATTTATTTCTTATTTATATGATAAATTAACTCGATTTTATCATACGAGTCAATTTTATATTAAAACACCTATAATTTCATAAATCTTATTATAAAATTATAGTATATGATAATTTGATTGTATAAAAAATTATTGATATATAATGTATCACTAATATGACACAAATAAAATTTAAAAAAATGTGAAATTTTCAACACATTAAATTGTTTTTACCTGAAAATATGAGAATAATTTTGCATGTCGACCACAGGTGTTGATTCATTTTTAGGCGAATCATTTGGATTTTTGGCGAGACCCAAACTCTGCAAAAGTTGTAAAAGGGATCGAGGGCGGTTTTCTTTCCAATTATCCCACTTTTCTTTCAATACATCTCTCCAAGTATGAAAAATGCCAATTGGACCCTGATATTCATGAAGCTTTTCTACCATGTCAAATTATATAGTAAAGTAGCTGCAAATAAATAATTTAAGTGATTGACATAAAATATTTACTACCTTTTACCGACAAACAGTATCTATTACGCAATACTCAATTATATTAATAAAATACAACAACATTTATGGATTGCAATTTTAAAATTTGTTGGTAATAAACCAATATTCTGTTGAGATAATTTTTTTAGTAAAAAAAAATGCTACATACATCATAATTGTGAAATCATTTAATAAACCTTTTTTAAGCTGCTTATAAAATGTTCTGTCTCGATGTAATATAAATTAACAAAACAGAGAGTATTAGACTTTTATAAGGATTACATTGATGTGATCATGTATCAATGTAAATATACAATCAAAATTTTATAATGTCTAACAAAGTGTAAATTTATTTAACAGCTGTTACAGTTGCATTTTTTTTTTTTAAATTAAACTCAAGCAGCAATGACATTTTAATTATTTTTGGGTCAAAATAATTATGTGAATGTTAATTATAAACGATGTTATAACGGTAAAACTAGACTTAAGAAAATACACAACTTAGGTCGTTAAATAGAACATCAAACATAAATGGTACGAATCTAAGAGTTGCACTTATTCAGTCCGATGAAATAAGATCACTCTTTTAATTTAAACGATTAAACAATGTGAGAAATAATATAAATAAAGTATTAATTAAACGCTATTACTTATCAATGCATATCATCATTTTTTTTTCTAAACGTACTAATAAATGATTATAAATAAATATGCTGATATGACACTAAGAATTTGTTTTTTAAATGATTTTGTTACGTTACTAAACCTAATATGGATAAAATATAATATTGAGTATCCTTTGAAATATGAGTTTTATAATATGAATAAGGTAAAAAAATAATAATAATTAAATATAATAAAAGCTAAATTATGAAACTCTTATAATAATTTTCTTATGTGAAACGTATTCAAGATAGTTAGATAATAAAATATATCAAAGAGGAAACTATTAAATAAACGATAATGATAAAATGACAGCGGCAATATATTTCTTTTTAAATTCTTATATTTATTTTTAATAAAATGATTTCACAAAAATTTAAATTGTACTATAGAATTAAAAATTTATATTATGTAGATAAAAACTATAATAGCATTAAGTATAACTCACAATTTTAATCGTTATAACAATTAAAATTCCAAAAAAATAATTATAACAATTCTTTCCATATCCCATTTTTATTTTTTATTTGTATTTTTAAAAATTTATATTATCACATTGTGTTTTAATACCATTACCCTACTAAAATATATTATTGTAATATATCCAAGTTTTGTATTCGATGTCTTTGGGTCATTACCTATTCTATCAATAATAGTTTGTCAGTGATTATTATATTATAATCTGCTGCATTGCAAACTAAAAAAATATACACCATTATTTATCAAATACCAAAACAAATTGTATACTTTCACAACTATTTATTAGCCAAACATGGGGAAAAAAACCCAGCACAGGGGGGTCGCGGCACAGTGGTGACGTGGCATAAATAGTTCAAGTATAATGATATCTGACAGTGATTAAAATCACTATCATAAAAAACGCTTCGATGCAAATCTTTAGATAGTGTTTAATTTTAAAAAATTGGTGGATTATTCCAAAAGCTTCATAAACTGCTTGTTCCTTATTAATATCCTGATTAAGACAAAGTATGTAGAATAAAAAAGAGATTATTAGAAAATAGTATTTCCCATAAAAAAATTATATTGATCAATACACTTTTCAATAAGTTATAGCATTATAATGTTAAAAATGTAAAAAATAAAATTGAGAATTTTCACACAATAATAGCATTTGGTAGCCATTTTCACCTTGAAGATAAAATAAAGTCCGAAATTTTTTTTTTCCATGATAAAGTATATTACATTAGCTTTAATTTAAGATATATATAAAAGTGTCAGACTTTCCGGAACACTTTCAAAATTTAAGTTGAAAAAGTCAATTTTTTGTGAAAAAGTTGTCATTTTGAATCCCCCCCTGTAGGCAGGTAAAAAGTCAGATTTATAAAAAAAATATACCAAATGATAGGTAAAGACATCATGCATCTACAAAAAAAAGAATTATATTGATCCATACATCTTTCGAGAAGTTATAGCATTATAAAGTTAAAAATATAAAAAAGAATTTTTTTACAAAAATCGTATTTTTTTTATTAAGTTTAATGTCTGTTTTCACCATGAAGATAAAATAAAGTCCGAAATTTTTTTTTACCATTATAAAGTATATTACATTAGCTTTAATTTAAGATATATATAAAAGTGTCAGACCTTCCGGAACACTTTCAAAAGTTACGTTGAAAAAGTTCTACTTTCTATATGCATTTTTATGTTTTGAATCCCCCCTGTATTTAGGGAAATGGTCCGATTTAAAAAAACAGTATGTCGAATGAAAGATCTATATAAATACTACTTCTCATAAAAAAATTGTAATGATTCATACATTTTTCAAAAAGTTATAGCATAATAAAGTTAAAAATGGAAAATACAAAATCGAAAATTTTCACACAAAAATAGCATTCGGTAGCCATTTTCACCATGAAGATAAGATAAAGTCCGAAATTTTTTTTTTTCATGATAAAGTATATTACATTAGCTTTAATTTAAGATATATATAAAAGTGTCAGACCTTCCGGAACATTTTCAAAATTTAAGTTAAAAAAATTAATTTTTTGTGAAAAAGTTGTCATTTTAAATCTCCCCTTGTGGGCAGGTTAAGGGTTAAATTTATGAAAAAAATATACCAAATGAAAGTTAATGATATTATGCATCTATATAAAAAATAATTATATTTATATGTTCATTTTTTAAAAAGTTATGGCACTTTTAAGTAAAAAAAATTGAAAAAATTTCGAAAATTAGCGATTTTTAAATTTGTAATTTTTTTGGAGGTTTCCCCCATTTACGGGGAACTAGGGAATTTTTTTCAATTTTTAAGGGTAATGTCTTCGACTAGATACAATTTGTGATCTTTTGACGTATCATTGAAAGAAATCGGTTCGGTGAGAGCTGAGAAAAAGTGGTAACAGACACAAAAAAAAAAAACACATCTTAGTAAATCCAATACCTTCTCAGCTTCGCATCGAAGCTAAAAACGTTTCCTGGGGGAAATTTAGAACTTTGTAAATTTAACAAAATTAAATTATATGTTTGAAACGATATGCTATTATTATTATTTCATACAAAGTGTCTCACGATGTTATAATGAATTTGTATATATATTCTTATAAAAAAATGTCAAATATCGTAACCTATACATTTTCATGAACAATAGGACTTCATTACAATTATCTCATTTATCCTCAAATAACGAATAAACGAGGAATAATTAAAAATGTGAACGCCAGCATAATATGTTGAATTATAATATGATTCTTGCTAAATCCTTACAAAATTTTTATTTTTCTTCCTAATACTACTTAACGATTTCATCAATAAAATTTACGTGTTTTGCCATTGTTAGCAACAATAATATTGATATTGTTTTAATAATCACTAGATATTATCATATGTTTTTCAAGAACCGAATTTCAGTATAATAGAGTAAATTCAATATTACCTCTCAAGAATATTAATTAAATAATTATAATTGAAAATTTTGTTCGTTTAAATACGTAATATAAACAAATGACAATATCTATTGCATTTAATTCTTAATGTTGGTCTTAAATTTAAACATACCACGCCATCTATTGCTACAATATTTCATAGCGTAATATATTTATATATATATATATATATATATATATAATGTGTATTAATTATTTAAAAAAACCCAGCACAGTGAGGTCGCGGCACAGTGGGGACGTAGCATAGTTGGGTGCAGTATAGATGATATCTGACAGTGATTAAAATCGCTATCATAAAAAAAGCTTCGATACAAATCTGCAGATAGTGTTAAATTCAAAAAAAAAATGATGAATTATTCCAAAAGCAACATGGTCTCCTATTTCATAACTCATATTCTACAATACAAGTTTTATAATTTATAAGTGTAATATATGAATAAATATTTAGTATAGCAATTACACATAGTATTCAAAACAATTCGGTACAAGGTGCGCACAATGGACCAACAGGTCTATTGTGTTAAAAATAACTAAATATAGTATGAAATTGATATTTAATAATTTAGTATTGTAATTTTTTTATTAATATTGATATCCGTATACACCATGAAAAGAAAATAAAGTCTGATATTTTTTTTTTATATTAAAGTATATTATTACATAAGCTGTAATTTAAGATATATAATTGTCAGTATTTCCGGAACACTATTTAAAAAAAGTTGAAAAAATTCTCTTTTCTATTTACATTTTTAAGTTTTGACCCCTCCTGTATAAAGAAAAATGATCCGATTTAAAAAAAAACCGTATATCGAATGAAAGAAGTATATAAATAGTATTTTTCATAAAAAAATTGTATTGATCCATTCATTTTTCAAAAATTTAAAGAAATTTAAAGTTAAAAGTGTAAAATATAAAATCGAGAATTTTAACATAAAAATAGCATATGGTAGTCATTTTCACCGTAAAGACAAAATAAATTTTTTTTTTCCATAATAAAGTATATTGCTTAAGCTTTAGTTTAATATATACATATAAGTGTCAGTATTTCCAGAACACTTTCAAAAGTTAAGTTGAAAAAGTTGTTATATTGAATCTCTCTTGTGTGCAGGTGGTAAAGGGTCAGATTTATAAAAAAAAATTTACAAAACGATAGGTAAATATCTCACGTATCTATAAAAAAAAATTGAATTTATCATTTTTAAAAAGTTATGGTAGATTTTAGTAAAAAAATTTTTAAAATTTCGAAAATTAGTGATTTTTAAATTTATAATTTTTTTGGAGATTTCCCCCATTTACGGGGAACGAGGGAAATTTTTTCAATTTTTAAGGGTAATGTCTTCGACTATATACGATTTGTGATTTTTTGACGTATCGTTGAAAGAAATCAGTCCAGTCAGAGCTGAGAAAAAGTGGTAATAGACACAAAAAAAAACACATCATAGTTAAATTAATACATTGTCAGCTTCGCATCGAAGCTAATAGGCATAGTAATTTGTAATATGTCAAAAACTTTAGTAAATCAATGACGTTCGAAACTCAAAGAGTGACTAAAGAATTTTATTATATATTTTTCATTGTCTTTAGATTGAATTATTTTCGAAATTTTTTAGAAAGTATACAAATACTTTGAATGTAAAAGTATAAAATCTTAATATTCCTTAACCTTGGTGCTTGAGACTTATGCGTCTCATTACACATACTTATTATTGTTAGTTACATGCACTGAATCATACATTTAATAATATTAAATAAATTTTATAATAATACTATAATTAAACTAAATTATGAAAAGAATTTGGGAAGTGAACAGTACTAATCTTATCCCTACAACTCTTGTTGTTTCTTAAACATACAGATTAGGAAATGTTGCTTATCATAATTTTTATAATTACAATATGATATTTATCATTCTAATTTTAAAAAATATAAACTTATTGTAGCATTATTTAGCATGAAAATAAATCTTACAATTATTTTATTCTTAAATTATAATTCTGATTAATCTAAAACATACCTGAATTATATTTTTAAACGAATGCAGAAAGTTTTTAAGATGTTCAAATAAAAAAAATTTTGCAATTAATTTATTTTGTGCTTATTTAAAAACAGAAACACTACACGATAAGAACCGAATGCATGTAGCGCAACGTTAGTGGACAGACTAAAAGCTTGTGCGACCCTAACAAGACAACGTCGCTTAGTTATATCTCTTTTTTTCATTTTGTCATTAAAAATAATTTTTATTTTTTTGTTTTTGTTTAATCAAAAATCGTGGAAACAAATAAGAATAGCTAATAATTTATGTCATAAATTTATATATATATATATAATTATATATATTTATATTATAAATACTATATAAATTAATAGATCAAAAATGAGTAATAATATTTAGACTAAGAGTAACTTCTAAATTAAAGACTAGTTTTTAAATAGTAAATTAAAAAAGGGGTTTATGATTAATGCATTATGCAATTTTATTTAAACAATTACTAATTATTTAACTATGAAACTAATTAAGGTATCTTCCGGATAAAGTCAATGCTAACTCAAGATCTGTACATCCGATATACACCATCAAATAAAACTGGAGCGTTTTGATTATCTTGAGTGCATTGAACACCTGGTGTATCATTTAATCACATTTATCTTTATACATTCATCACTAAACACGCTAATCAAGCGTTAAAACATAACAATATATTCTATTTTAGTGTAATAAATTTAGGCTTTTAAGTATAGTTATTTTCTGTAAGCTGCAGATAAAAAACCACGATTTCTAAGTCTTCTCTATATTTAATCACTATCACCTGATGAAGCCATAATATACTCGGTCAAACGTCATTCATTTAACAATTGATTTTTTTTTACCAGAAGTGAGCGTTTTTTACTATTATTCCTGTTAAATATTGACTTATGTTTTATACAGAGTGATCTGCTAGCTTTATCCCACGAAATATCTGTATAAGAGTAAGATAAAATACTAATAATAATAATAAATAATAATAATTTTATTTTTAGAAGTTATTAGTATCCTATACACCTTAATTAACATAAAAAATATAGTTCTATCTCCTATCTTCAGTTTTTTTTAATGGAAATATACATGTTTAACTTATTTACAAATAAGAAAATAACTGGCAAATAATAAATCCGTATAGTTTATAACTTTGGAAGTTATAAATATTTTTATACCAGGGCAAAAAGGGTAGTGCAGTTCATAAATGCTGAGCAATAAAAATAAACATATCAGTGCTTCACCTCCTGTCATTTTAAGTGTAAATAAATTTAAAAATACTGGTTCAAAAGCTGTTAACGATCATTCATCATCTTAGTTAGGTAATTTTCTTACTTGTAAACGAGTAAATTATGTATGTTTCTATTTTAAAGTTAATGATGATAAAATTTAAAAGGGGATGGACTATTTTTTTGTTAATTGAAGTGTATAGGATATTAATTGGTTTGAAAAAAAGGAAATAACTAATAATTTAAAGATAGTTTGTAAGACATGGTTAGCAGGTCAGTCTATACATTAAAAATTAACTTACAAAAACCTTTATAATTATATGAATAATAAATATTGTACAATCTTTGTTATGAGGTATACATAAATATCGAAATTAAAATATAATAAAATATCAATTAAAAATTTTTAATTCGTAAAAATAATAAAATTATAAGTTTTCAAAAAAAAAACATAATAGGGTAAGTAAGACACGTTTTACTGACTGCGTTTGTATTGAAAATAACTATATATTTGTGTTTACAAATCATACTTTTATAATGTATATTTAATATATTTCTAAGTAGAAATCTGCACGGTCTGAATTTTTAAGGACCACACCAAACTGCTCCGATAAATTAAAAAAAGATTGGATTGAATTATTACATTAAATAATATTTGACTGGACCAAATATAATTTTAAACTTAAAATTAAGCACAAGTGTTTCATTTTAATTTATTATTTATTTTTCAAATAGTTAAAATTTAATTTTGTAAAAAATAAATAAATATAAGTAGATTTCAACGAATTGTTATATATTTTCTTGGTGATAAAAAAATTGAAGCTAGATAAAGACGTTCGTTAAAATTGTTTATGCATACTTTATTTTATTCAGTATAATGTACTAAGGCACACATAAATGTAATATTGTTTTATTAACTCAAGGGTAATTATTTACAACGACGGTGTCAAATCGTACCTAAATCAAAGTAGTAACATTGTAACAATATTAATATGTCTAGACATGATTATATTCATTAAAAGCGACCATTTTAATCCAAAATTTACAGAAAAGATTATGAAGTAACTGAATAAACTTATCGATTGACAGCTATAAGAAAACAACACATTATGCACTGTGACTTTTAACATCACGATTCAAAATTCCTGGAAATTCCATTAGCAATAATAAACAAATCAGGTTGTATATTACATTTATTGTATTCATTTTCAGTGTGCGTTAAAAACGTACTCTGTTAAAAATCAACGTGAACCTATTAAGATAAAAGTTTTTTTATTTTTTACGTGTGTGGTTCCATTATAAATAAAAATATACATTAAATTTTGTATAATAATCGACAGTTATATATATTATACTGTTTTTCATGTTAATGTTCAATGAAAATGTTAATCATTTTCTTAATTTAAAGACGAACCCGGATCGGACAAATTTTTTATTTTAAGTATGAGGACCGAATCGAACTGTGGTCTGGTCCATTCCAGTCAGAAATGGTCCAAACCAAATCATACAAGTCGTGAAATTTATAAAAATAATAGAGCCAAAATATTGAATAGAATTTTGTAGTTTATCTACAAATTAAGCTTCAAAGAGCCGTTACAGTTTAAGTGTCACAATAATAAAACTCATTTAGATACTGAGCACTGCGTGCGTGAAATAATAGAGAAATTCATAGCCCGATGTCATTACAAAGGCATCTGTTAAATTTTAAGCTTCAGTTTCCAATTACGTACATAACATGAGATTTAGTTCTCTTATTAAAATAACATTGACGTTACAAATAACGTTCTATTGTATTAAAGGCGTGACAATACAGGTACATATTATGGAAAATTACAAATGTGCAAATATACTGTTTTTAACCCATTCTATTCAGTGTAAAATATGCCTTATTTTGTAACGTTACTCGTAGCAAAGTAGTTTATTGGTCGAGATGACAGAAGTGCAAATTCTAAAGTATCGATGAGCGTTAATCACAATTCCCATAATGAATTCACTGCACTAAAATACGAATACTTCCTACTTAATCAAATTCACAGGTTCTTGTTCTCTATAAGTACATGCCATTCAATAGTACTTAGTAAATAAGACAAAACTCAATTGCAATTACAGTGAAATCACAATCATTAAGTGTATACCAACGGAAGGCTCATACGATGCGACCGATGTCCAATCACCAGAGGATTTGTCAAGTTAAATTTCCGAACATTGTCTAATTCCCTGAACATACTTCATTGTCAATAACAAAATACTAAAAAATCCCAGGAAAGCAATTTGTTAATTTCCAAGTAATAAAAAGAGTTATTCAAAGTATTTAAAGAACCCTAATTTAAACACATGTCATAAAGTAACGCCTAAATTTTTAAATAAACTTTTTCTAAATATGTTATTATTAAAAACGACTTATAATTAGTTTTAAACATCACATGTATTTACTGGTAATTATTATTTCAAGTAAATAACTACAAATTTCAAACGAACGAATGTCGTGCGAGTCCGTTGAAAAATCATCATTATTAATTTATAATACTACTTTTTTATCTTGTACAACTTTTAACTTACAATCAACTTGAATATAAAAAGTATTTTATTCGTTAAATAAACCAATTTGATATTTTGTAATATATCAATTAATAATAATTAAAATGAATGATTTTATAACGTCACTGTTTAATGTCAATCATAAATACAACAATAAATTAATTAAAATCTATATGTGCGCTAAGGATCAGAAACTTATTGAAAGCCACATCAGCTAGACTGTTTGTTCTAGTTTTGTTGCATTGAAATAATTTTCATGATCAATGAGCATTCTTTTTAATTATGACTAATTGTAATATTACAAATAATAAGTATTTAAAAACAGAAATATTTTCTATTCACAATATGTATTAAAAATAAACTATGTATATTCCTAACGCTAATTTTACTATACTTTCGTTTTTCTATAAAAACAAGTTAATAAAAATAAACTCACAATAAATTATATTTTAGTAATGCAATAGCTGCCCATGTTAAATGTGGAATTTTTTTTTTACGTGTCTGAATAATTTTAATTTTTTGGCTATTTAGATTGAACACTACTTGATTTTTTAATATAACTTACCGTGCATTCAAGTTTATTTAACTTAAATCTATTAATATTATTCCATCTATAAGAACTATAATTTTACTATATTAAGAAAAAAAACTCAAACGTACATATATAACTTGTTGGTTATAAAAATTGTTGGCTTATAATTATCATGAATGTGGGAATTCAAAAATTTTGATAAAATGTCAAATTTTCTATCTTCGTCATACATGTTATTATTTGATCGATAGTAAAAAATATTAATTTAAAATTAAAAAGCTATATTACGTATATTTTAAACTTATTATTATTTTTTTATGCAAATATTAATAGGGTCAACTCGAGGGAACTTATTGGGAATTAGTCTAACAATTTTTATATTTCCATTTCAACTAATAATATATTAGCATAATAATGTTCATATATGAAACGTCCTTATAGTTATCACATGTTAAATTAATTTATCGCTACCCCTCTCTATTATAATCTTAAAGGTAGTTGTATTTTGTGATACTGTAAGCTTTAATCGATAACACTTCTACTTCATTTTTATTCAAGAAAAATACAATTTAAGTTATTCAAAGTTACTGTTGTTCGTGTATAGAAAAAAAACCTTCGTTTTTTTAATAATTCAAGTATTTTAATAAATTTTACTTGGTAATAAAATCTTATAAATAACATAATAATCTTAGTACTTCCTTTGATTTGAGAAAATCAAATAGCACATATACAAGTTAATTGATTTATGCAATCTTATTATCGATTGGATATATAATTTGAGTTACAACTCAAATAATGAATAAACATTGATTGAATAAATAGAATTTAAATTTTCTAATACTTGTTCAAAGTAATTTTTTTAATTTGATTCATTATTTTATTTATTACTCTGAATGTTTGAAAAACAAAATCTGATGCACTAATAAACATAAATAGGCACACACAAAAAAATGTTCACTAGCCCCTCCAAACAAAAAAAATATAAATAAATAAATTAATTAATTAAAATCTATATGTGCGCTAAGGATCAGAAACTTATTGAAAGTCACATCAGCTAGACTGTTTGTTGCTAGCTTTGTTGCATTGAAATAATTTTTATGATCAATGCGCATTCTTTATTAAGTATGACTAATTGTAATAATACAAATAATAAGTATTTAAAAACGTGCTATCGTAAATAAACGCCATAAACTAATAGAAAACTTTTTAAAATAAAACATTTTGTTTCAGTCGTGTAGTAATTTTATTGTGATCATTCTAAATTTTCCGAAGAACATGACCAATTGTAACATGATAGTCGGTGAGTGCTAAAACTTATCTTATTTTACCTATCTCAAAAATTAAAAATTCTATTTTTAATACATACAAATTTAATGAATAATTTTTACATTATAAAAATTAATTTTCAGTAAAAAGTAATTTTAAACTATGGTAAAAAATTTTTGGAACCAGAGCACTGGTTAATCTGTATATTTCTGACAAATGTATTTAAACATTTTGATAGTTTCACATCTTGTAAAATTTAAATGTTATAACTTATCGCTTTCATGAGGAAACCATAAAAAAATTTTAACCATATTATATTTTTCAAATTTTTACAAAAGAAAGAAAATAATAATTTGTGGTAATATTTAAAATAATATAACATACAACTGAGGACATTAAAATTAAATGCTATGGATAATTAATAAATTAAATTAAAATTAGGAAATGTATATTTTTATAATAACGTTTAATATTTCAATAGAAATAAATCTAAACATTTTATCCAGTATTATTATGACACGAGTATATCTCTGACAAAATTTATTTTTATTCTATTCTATCAGAAAATAGTCCATTTGAAAACGATAATTAAAGAGTGAAAATATTCAACATTTTAATTGTTGTAAAATACTTAAGTAAATTATTCTTAATAATTATTGTATAATTTCGTTACATATTTTAATCACCAAAATGTAGTATCCTTGCGCAATTTTTTTGAGAAGTAATTTTTTTTTTATATAAATACATCATTTTTCTATCATAATTTAAAATGTATAATATTTATTAATTTTTTTAACGTTTTTTTTATGAAATGTTTAATATTTTTGTATTATCTCCTGCTGTATTTAACAAGTAAAATCTATTTTATTATATCATTTAGATAAATTTTGAAATAATTATTTTCTTTAAATTTGTCTTTGCATAATTACAGAAATATTTTTTGTCCATAATATGTATAAAAATAAACATATGTATATTCCAAACGCTAATTTGACTATAATTTCATTTTTCCATAAAGACATGATAATAATAAACAAACTTGCAAAGAATTATATATTAACTTAGCTACACATGCTATGTTAAAATGTGGAATTTTTTTTTACGCGTCTGAATAACTTCAATTTTTTGACTATTAAGATTGATTACTACGTATCATTAAATAGAATCATATGAAACCACATTCTGATAATTGATTTTTTTAATATAACATACCATTATAATTAATAATAAGTATTAATTTTTACCTACTGTGATAATGTACAATGTATTTATAATTTTTAATGTGTTTTCCAGCAAAATCTGAAACTATTGGTCATGAAAATCAGCCTATGGATTTGGATACTGCTATTGATTTGGTCGGTAAGTAACTCTTTTAAAAAGTTATAATTATTAGATCCGTTAAAATACATTATGTTTTTTAAATTAATTTGGAAAATGTACAGCACAAGAAATTGATTATGTTTTGTTTAAAATTATTAACAATTTAAAGTTAAAACTACAATACAAATATTTTAATTTTATTTATTTACTAATTTCTGAGTTATAACTATTTCAGAAATCTAATAAGATATTTATTTTAGATATAAATATCATTATATTATAAATATAAATGATATTGAATAAAACCAAAGAAAAAAAAAAGACAAATAATTTAACTATTAATGAAATAATCGAAATAAAATCAACAAAAATATTTCCAATGTTTTCCGATAGTAATATCAAATATATTATAACAAAATTCTATTGAGAGAATTTAAATTAAATTCTTAACATAATTTAATTTCAAATATATTACAACAATAAATAATTAATCAATATTTCAATTTAAAATAAATTGCATATTTTTCAGATATAGGATAAAATAGGAATCGGATAGGTTTTATTTACATAGTACTACAATCTAGTCTATACCATATAACGAAATTCATGTAATATAATATTTTATAATTATTAATATTAATATGATATTACTTTTTAACAATAAGTAATCAATATAATTACTTAAAATAATTTTTTTTATGCTTGAAATTGAAAATAAATAACTAATAAATTAATGAATAAAACCCGGTCAGTAATTATTTTTCTAATATAAAAATAGTAGCAAGTAGAGGCATCATAAAAAACATTCCATAAAAACCAAAAACCCTATTTTAATAAATTAAAGTCAGTTTACTTTTTACTCATTATTTCATATAATTTATTTAATCATCCAATATTTTATATGCCACGTTCAAAGACATTTAATAGTAAACTTACTAGATTCCACTTTCCTGCTTCCCTTTTCAGAATTAAATATTCTCCATCATAGTTACAATTTTCTAGTTCAAATTAATTTTTGACTTGTATGAAATTTTGTATATTTTTTATTGTCGATCATTAACCAAAAAATGAAAAAATTTATATTTTAATTTTATCTTATAAAATTATTCTTTTCCTTTTTCATGAAAATAGGATTTGGAAAATTTCAATATTACACACTTTTTATTTGTGGTTCATTATTTATGATTTTCGCTATAAGTGTTACTTCGGTAACATTTATTCTTCCATCGGCACAATGTGATTTTGAGATGAACTCAACCCATAAAGGTCTGCTAAATGGAGCATCGATGGTAGGTAAGTTTTGATTTTAATTCTTCAGTTGGTCATAATCACACTTCGGCAATTAATTTATTTCTGTACAATATCCCATGACATCCCCAGAGTAATAATTATATCTTGTGATAGGAATGGTTATTGGCTCATTTATTTGGGGATATTTGGCTGATTCCAAAGGTCGGCGATATACTTTAATTGTCAGTACAATGATGGACGGCATATTCAGTATTGTGTCAAGTGTCGTTCAAGTTTATCCTTTGTTCTTTTTTTGTAGATTTATGAGTGGATTTGGGTAAATTTTTACAATCTATAATATTACATATATGATGGATAAAATGATTTATATGGTCCCTAGAGTATCTGGCGTAACAGTCCTTTATTCCTACTTAGGAGAGTTTGTAAAAGCAAAATATCGTGAGAAATTTCTTTGTTGGATGGAAATATTTTGGACTGCAGGAATAATTATACTTCCATGTAAGAATTTGGAATTAGAGCATAAGCGTTTTAGTAATATCCAATTCATCTATTAAGATGTTTCGATTTATAATAAATTAATTAATTTTGAAGAATAGTCTGATAAATAACAACATGTAAAATTTCATAATTGTTAATTTTAAGACAATGAAATTTCACCAGTTGTTAATTATCGAAAGCCTAAAACATTTTAATGCAGTATATCATTACAGGTTTAGCTTGGTTAGTGATACCTTTAACGTTTCGGTTTGAAAATGAATACATTTTATTCAAATCTTGGAATTTGTTCGCCATTGTTTGTGCTTTACCAAGCATAATAATTGCTACTCTGTTAATTAAAATGCCAGAGAGTCCAAAATTTCTCCTTAATAAGGGTAAACATGATGAAACGATTGAATGTTTGAAAGTTGTTTATTCCTGGAATAACACTACAGGACTTCATGAATTTCCAGTAAGTCACAAAAATTTATATTATAGAAAGATGAATCATGTCATTAAAAATATATAACTATCTTTGTAACATTAAAAAAAAAATAGTGATTACTATAAATTTATATAACTTAAACCAGTTTTATTAGATGTTAAATATTTTTTTCGATATTATTACCATTACCAGAACATAAACCATTAAAATTAAAAATGCTACTTTGATATTAAAAATATTTTTTTTAATTCTATATATCTCAACATGTTTAATTGAAAGTACATCACCATATTGATAAAATATCTAAATTAATTTATTTTAATAACTTATTTAAATTAATAACTTAAATATTTAAAATTAAATTTTACTTATAATAGATACTAAATCTTAACTAAATGAATTTCCTTCTAAAATAAATTTTAAATTAATCGAAGACGCTTATTGTCTGTTTTGACTTCTTTTCAAAACACTGAATTGAAAAGAGCGACTCATTTAACCTCAACTAAACGAAATGTTTTAATTCTTTATGATTAAATGATAATGAGTTAATTATGAAAAGCATTATAATTTTTTTCTGTAAACTTTTAGGTAAAGTCATTAATAATGCCGGATTATACAGACGAAACTAGCAGCCATTTTCTAAAAGGTCTTTGGAGAAGCATTATAGGATTATTTTATTCAAAATACAAAATCGAAGCTATAGTCACATGCATTATTCAATTTTGCGCTACAGCTAGGTCAGCAAATTAAAACTAAATATATTACATTAAAAAAAAAGTTTGTCCATCGGTCTAACTAAATAATTAAGACGTTTATCAATAAATCTACGTTTATATTGAATAATTATCTTTATAGCATTTTTATTGATGTAAATTTTATTAATTATTGTATAGTTATGTAATACTATACAACAATTAATGTAATAATACTAGAAATTGATTATATAATTATTTAAAAAAATTTATTTAGATAATTATCATTTCTAATATTTTTCACTGTGTTTGAGTATCCTGTTTTTTATGTTGCATGCACAGTTACTACATGCTAGTAATGTGGTTTCCAGAGCTGATGAACAGATTTCGAAAATATGAAACTGAAATGCCCAATTCACATGGGGTATCGATGTGTGAAATTATATCAATGTTCAATAATAGAACAGAGCAAAATTTCATTGAATGTAATGATAATATTGACCAATCGGTGTACATCAATATTGTTATCATCGGGTTAGCTTGCATACCAACAAGTCTAGCTCTACCCATGTTTGTCAACAAGCTAGGACTAAGATTTTTCTTAAGTAAGAAAAGTACAATATGTTCAAATTTTCTATAAGGTATAATCATTTTTTTTTTACTCACGAATCATGAACTTTCAATTTTTCAAACATTTATTTTTATCTTTCTTTCTTTTTTAGTAATTATTTTTACTTGAAAAATGTGCCCGTTAACAATAGTAAAAATCTAATTTTTTTAACAGATAAATCCAACAAAGTCTACCTTCGTAATTGTGTGTGACATTTTTTTTATTTACCTCAAAAATCTTATCTATGAACCTCTTGACACATTTGATCTAATCTCATATATTCCTTATTTTTATTTTATTTTTTCAAGAAAAAAAAATATGAATTTTATCTATTTACTTCATTTATATAACTATATATTTTATTGTTAAACCTAAACGTTTTATTTAAGAAAAATTTTTAAAAAATATATACAGACATATATATATATATATATTAGTAATCTTTTAATAAATTAATTTAGATAACTTAAATTAAATAATTTAATTTAGATTTAGAATAAATTCATTTAGATTGGGATCATATCTTTTGTGTAACTCAAATATCAGTATTACCTAAATAACATAACTCACAAAAAATTTCCAAGTACTTTTTATGAGCAAAAAATAGAGAAATTTTTTCTACGATAGAAACTAAATACAATTATTTAGATGGTTTAAATGTTTATAATTTAATGTATTTAAATACTCATATTGTATATTTAGTATTAAATATTTATATTCACTCAAGTATTCAACTATTTTAAAATTAATGATTTTAAAATGAGCCTATAATTTGATTGTATATTTTCTTTTTCTTTATTGTTATTTAACTGTAGAATAAAATTTGATTCTTTTGTTATGTATAGAAATTTGAATGTATATTTATGTTGTTATACAAAATTCTATTTTTTTGTGAATGTTTTAAAAGCATTTTTTAACATTTTGCTTACTAAAATTTAAGAACATCATACCTATTGAAAACATTAAATACTTTCGTACATTTTTTTTCGCAGGATATTAAGACGGAATATTTTTATAACATTTGTGTAAGCTCTTTTAAAAGGATGTTCATAATCTATTTTGAGTAGTTCGCTATGAAAAATAATGTTTATTTTCGTAGGAGGGATGGTACATTGACAAACTATATATTTATTAGTCCGTTAAAAAAAATAGAATAAAATCATTCCTTTTGACAAAATAATTACAAATAGAAAAGCACATTGTCAGTATTTAATTGTTTTGTTACATAAATTTAAATTTTGCATTATATATTAATTCATATATTTTTCTTCAGTCAATTTTTAATTTTTTTTATTTTGATAGTATTCAGTTTTGTTGGCTCGGGTATAGCAGCAGCTTGTCTCTATTACATAACTACATCAACACAAAATCTTGTACTCTCTTCTATTTTCGAAGCTCTGTCTAGTATGGGTATAAGTCTTATGTACTGCATAAGTGTAGAGCTATTTCCAACAGAACATAGGTAATATAATTTCTGGACCAAAATTTTTAAACATTTTTTTTTATGAAGTTGGCTTTCTTTTTAGAATAATATTAACCTTACACCTTATTTTATTACAGAGGTATGGCTGTTTCTTTAGGAGGCACTTTTGGAAAAATTGGTGCACTCCTGGGCAATATTGTTGTAGGAATATTTATTGATGCACATTGTATAATTCCAATTATAATTGCTTGTTCATTTCTATTGCGTAAGTAAAATAAATTCAAATAAACGAAATACGTGTCTTCTGAAATTCTATATATTTTTAAACAATTGACTAGAAAGAATTACGAATATAATGAGTTAGTAAATAAAAAACAATTAAAAGTCTTTTTATAACCGAACAGAAGTTGTAAGTGCATAATACGGTGCCATTTATGTCATTAAATATAGTAATGCTGACATGTGTCAGATAAAATGTGGGTATCATATATGAGATGATAAAACTATTGCTTTCTATCACTACCATATATGCCTCTAGGAGATTTTGCAGAAGGAATACATTTAAAATATTGTTAATTGCTAAAAATTGTTTCAAAAACTTTATCGAAGACTTTTTGTTATCAAAAACTTTAATAAACATCTGGCAAATTCAAATCATGAGGTTATCATTAAACAATACTATTAATGTATAACATATGTTATAAATTAATAGTAATTTTTTAGACATCATTTTTATTAATAGAGTTATAATATTTTTATAAAATATAATATAATATTAATGTTATAAAAATGTTATAAAAATGTTTTTATTATATTATTTTTTTAAATTGCTGCCTGGAATGCAGGAAGACAAAAGAAACCAGCTTTGGACTCATTTAAAAATGACCAAACACTTAATTTTTTTGGCGTTTAATTAAAAATGTTTATTTCAGTTTCTGCATTTTTAATTCTCACATTGCCAAAAACTGGAAACATCGACTTGAAGTAAAACTTATAATATACTATAAATAATTTATTATCAATAAATATTTAATTAATTATAGTGTATATAATGCATTGTAAATTGTTAATTTAATTTATTTGTAAAAATGTTGTAATAATTTTTAATTTTATTAAAGAAACTTTGATATCAAACTCAACTCTGAATTTGTTATTAGAATTTTTTTTCCAATAATTAATTAAATTTTCACATAAAATTACAAGTAGTACCTTTATTAATGTAATAATCCAAAAAAAACCAGCACAGGGGATTCGCGGCACAGTGGTGACGTGGCATAGATGGATCAAGTATAATGATATCTGACAGTGATTAAAATCACTATAAAAAAAAAACGCTTAACGAAGAAGAAGAGAAGAAGAAGATAAAAAAAAACGCTTCGATGCAAATCTTTAGATAGTGTTTAATTTTAAAAAATTGGTGGCTTATTCCAAAAGCTACATGATCTGCTAGTTCATTATTAATATCCTCATTAAGATAAAGTATGTCGAATGAAAAAGGGATAATTAAAAAATATTATTTCTCATAAAAAAATAATATTGATCCATACACTTTTCAATATGTCATAGCATTATAAAGTTAAAAATGTAAAAAATAAAATCGAGAATTTTCACACAATAATAGCATTCGGTAGCCATTTTCACCGTGAAGATAAAATAAAGTCCGAAATTTTTTTTTTTTATGATAAAGTATATTACATTAGCTTTAATTTAAGATATATATAAAAGTGTCAGACCTTCCGGAACACTTTCAAAAGTTACGTTGAAAAAGTTCTACTTTCTATATGCATTTTTATNATTTAAGTTGAAAAAGTTGTAATTTTAAATCCCCCCTGTGGGCAAGTAAAGGGTCAGATATAAAAAAAAAAATATACCAAATGATAGGTAAAGACATCATGCATCTTTAAAAAAAAAGAATTATATTGATTCATACATCTTTCAAAAAGTTATAGCATTATAAAGTTAAAAATATAAAAAAGGAATTTTTTTACAAAAATCGTATTTTTATAATTAACATTGATGTCTGTTTTCACCATGAAGATAAAATAAAGTCCGAAATTTTTTTTTTTTATGATAAAGTATATTACATTAGCTTTAATTTAAGATATATATAAAAGTGTCAGACCTTCCGGAACACTTTCAAAAGTTACGTTGAAAAAGTTCTACTTTCTATATGCATTTTTTATATTTGAAGCCCTCCTATATATAGGGAAATAGTCTGATTTTAAAAAAAAGTATGTCCAATGAAAGATGTATATAAATACTACTTCTCATGAATAAATTGTATTGATCCATACATTTTTTAAATATTTATAGCATAATAAAATTAAAAATATAAAATACAAAATCGAAAATTTTCACACAAAAATAGCATTTGATTCACCGTGAAGATAAAATAAAGTCCGAAATTTTTTTTTTCATGATAAAATATATTACATTAGCTTTAATTTAAGAAATACATATAAGTGTCAGTATTTCCGAAACATTTTCAAAAATCAAGTTGAAAAAATTAATTTTTTGTGAAAAAGTTGTCATTTTAAATCCCCCCTTGTGGGCAGGTTAAGGGTTAAATTTATGAAAAAAATATACCAAA